TATTCATCCTGGCTACTAACAGTGGTTGGACTACATTGTATTTCACCTCTGCCCAAAGTAAAATAAAAGGCGTAATGCAAATGAACTTTACTTACACTAATTAAAAGGTCAATTATATATATATAATATATAGAGTTTGAATATAGAAGTTGCTCTGGTTAATCTAAAGGCATAAAATGATGCAGCTATGGCAGACATTTGTCACACCTTTTAATTAAACCAGACCTTTAGCAATTAAGTTTAGAATAGGCTTTTCTTGCATATGTAACTGTTAGTGAGAACATGAATTTCTTGAGTTTGAAGGCAAACTATGGTATGGGAGGCATTTGTAAATAGTCTGGACAAAGGATATATCTTCATGATGCTAAGCAGTAATAGTCCCTGACATATTCTGATTTACCTGGGGAAAATAGTGTGCAGGTAATAGTAAAGGCAGGGACAGCTCTGTTTTCCATTTTATACTTTCTTATAGCAAATAACTCCAGGCTAGTGTACATGTTGAAATACTAGACAGTTACAGAAGCCTCTCTACAAAAAGTGCTCAGGAAATGAGGCATACTTCACAAAAGCCAATGAATTAAGTTTACCTAAAATGAACACTCTGAACACTATACTTAAATGAACTTTATACAAAAATAGGAAATGTTAGTTTTTTGAAAACGTTTATTGAGTGTGTGGGGATTAAAAACTACAAGGTTTGGTGGCAGTTGCAGTAGCAGAAGCAAGAGAAAAATTAAACATATCTGATTTGCTACCTAATGCTTCTGACACGCTCAATTTACTCCCTCATTCACCTACCAAGAACTCCATATTAATGCTGGGTCTTAGACTGCTGTAGCAGAAGTCATAGATTAAAAAAATGCATTCCAAGATGGCAGTAGGGCTATAAATGCTGATAGAAGTTTAAAACTCTTTAATTCTTTGAACTTCTACCATATTAAATAGCATAGCATGTTAGTTTTGAGTTAGGCAATTTGCATTTCAGTCAGGGGATATGTAAAAAAAATATAGTTGTCAGTGTAACCCCTAAGCCCCATTAAATCAAATAAGGAAAACAATGATTATTGCCCAGTTACTCAAAATTACATTTGTTGGGTAGAATTTCCATTCCAAGTGTTGTTTTCATCCTCTCCGTCATCTTGAGTCCTCAATCTGTATATTTTCCCTTCTTTTTTAAAGTCTTCCCCACGCTTTTCTAGTACTCGTTTTCTGACTGCTTGCCTAGGCACAAAGAAAATGCATTTGAGAACAGTTTTCTTAACAGCAAATGTATTTGTATCTTTCATTTTGCTACATCACATCTAAACCTCTCACTCTGAGGTTTGATCTGACTGGAACAAAAAGTTACAATTCGCTTGCTTTCCTCCAGAGACCATGGAGCTCAATTTAAATAGAAATATTTTGACTGGAAGTCCAACAAATCAGTCTTATAGAGTTGTTCTGACATGGAGAGAGAGCCTTTGCAGCTTCAACAGCAGAAGTGAAGCAAATAATTTTCTAAGTACAAACAAAGTTTGAGGGCAGTAGGGAAAAAGGAGAACATAGACTAGGAGGCAGTGATTTGATATTCTGGGGAAGTCACCTGGAGCATTTCCAACCTTCCCAGCCATTTTAATTTTTTTAAAGCTACTGAATATAGGACAATACATCTGTTAGTCCATAAGGCGCTACAGGACTCTTTGTTGCTTTTGCATATCCAGACTAAAATGGCTACCCCTCTGATACTTGAATATAGGAGGCTCCTTCTCCAGGTAATGACTGATCATCCAACAGGTGGCTAAGAGGCTACCAGAGAACAGCTCACACTTTAAAAAGCCAGCTATTCTCCTTCCAGACTGCTGCTGGAGGGAGGGAAGGGACAAGGGTCACTTCTCATCCTCATCCTTCCCCCCAGCAAAATCTCTTAGCTCCCCATTGGTTCTTCCCCTCCTCCCCCAGTTTCTGGCCAGAAGGAGCTGAGAATTTTTGTTGGGAGCAGGGGCAGTGTAGGAAGCCTTCTCCCTCCTTCTCATGCCCAGAGTGGAATCACATGGAGCAGCCTGCAGTAGACAGTCTGCCTCAGGTTTCTGCTGGTAAGCCCCTCCCTTCCTCAACCATTTGCCCCAACTCCACATATCCAAATCCTCTGCCCCCTACTGCACCCACACCCCTCATAGATCTGGCACCCCAATCTCCTGCTCAGATCAGTCCCCTCCTAACCTAGGTCACATCACCAAAATCCTGCACCCCAGTCTCCTGCCCTAGGTCACAACTGCCTCCTTCACCCAAACTCCCTCCCAGACCCCATTTTCCCTTCTGTACCCTAATCCCTTACCCCAAGCTCCCTTCTGCACCCAACCTCCATCCCAGACCTCAGAATTCCTCCATTAATATCCTGGCAGAGTGCAACCCTTGACCACTTCCAAAATCTTGGAGTGGTCCCCCATCAAAAATTACTGCCCTCCCCTATTATACATTAACCATTCTTGCACTAAAGAGAACTAGCTCAACAGCCCAGTGGAGTCCCTGCTGAAAGATTTCCCATGTTCTATAGCTGTGGAGAAGGAGTTTCTCCTTGAAAATCATCACTAGGCCTCAGGCATAATGCAGCAAAGAAGACTCCTCTTTTGAGGCGAGATGGGAGAAATTTCAGTCCAATAGTAAATTCATCAAAAAATGCAGGTTAAAGGGAACCAAAACCATTCACAAATTCAGGTCAAATTGGGTGAACAGTTTCAGCAGAATAAAAATGAAGGGAAAAACTTTCAAGTCAAAACAGTTCATTTTGAAATGTTGGAATTCACCTATATACGTTCAAAACATTCAAATATTTCCCTTCTTGAATTAATTTGTTCATGTTATAAAAAAAATTAAGAGGTATTCTGAGGTAGCAGAGCAAATCTTAAGAGCCAAGAACAGAACTCCTGTCTCCAAGTTCCTGTCCAATATCCTATGCACCAGATTAGACTATCCTTACATGGGCCAGCAGCAAGATGTTAAAAATATAAAACAGATGAAGCTTTATAGTCGTAAGTACAAATTAGAAGTGACATGAGAGTCAGAGCTGCTTACCTGCTTGGCTCAACTGTGCTAGATGGTGAAGGATTTGAATGTTCTTGTTGATGTCCTGCTCTTACTGTAGGTTGTGAGGGGGGAGGGCTGGTAAATAAGAAGTTGCTAATAAATCTCCAGACAGCTATGAGTGGATAAAGTATTGTGCCCAAGAATTTCCAAAGGTCTCCACCTGAGGCCTGTACCACTGAAGTGGAAGGTCTTCCCGCCTATTCAAGAACAAAGGAAGTTAAAACATTTTAAAGAGCAATAGATACAGTCAGGATATTTGAAATACTACTTGTTGAAAAGTAGCCCAATGCATATATCTAGACACATATTTCAGTTTCTTCCAACATCTCGATACTGGGTGTGAATGCTGGACACTGACCATAAAAACACTTTAATAACTTTATTTTGTAAATGGCTGAATAATATTCACAAATAGTTTATTCAACTTTCTGCACCAGATAAGTCACATTAGGATTTTCTATGGTGACCCTTCAAATATCTACCAGAGACAAGAGCTACAATAAAAAGTTGGCTGAGTGACTAGGAAGCAGCTCAAGGAATGTAGATTGCAGCCTGGTCACTGGAGCCAGCACTAGCAGCAACATGTTCATGCTTTGGCATTTCATTACCATTGATCTATGGTGGAAATTTTGTGAGAAGCATTCATTGCTTATTCTTGGTGCTAAAGAATAATGCTAATTTATTTTTAAATGCTAGCCTTTGTCTAGCTCTCAATGAACATACACTTAGCATTACAAGAGGGCTATTTGTTAGCTAGGGGGAGACAAAGAAAAGGAAAGGGTGCAAGTCAAAATTCCAAACAAAAATTTGTTGTAGCAGTTTTATCTACTAAACATACTTCCAAGTTTCCTAAATCCTGAGGTATTTAAATTCCTATTGCCAGGGAAACGCCATACAATGTTAACTACTGCTACCACTAATCAACAGTACATCATGAGGAGAGTCATCTTTCCAAACAGACAAAAATGTATCAAAGAATTACACAAATTGAGATTTTGCCTTGGACTGATAATGTAAAATGGACACTTAAGTCTGAACTGTATCTGTCATGAAAGATACAATATTGTACTTATCTGTGAACTGAAAAGAAATATATACTTGCCGGCAACAATACTATTGAAGCACTTGGTGCCAGTTCTAGCTCCAATAATTTCTTTCCATAATCTTCTTTGGTAAACTCCCTTCTGGGAAACATTGTAGCCAATGAAAAATTCCCATAAGTGTTGCCAACAGTCTGTAAGAAAGAAACTAGCTATTTACATTATTTTAATACAGGGCATATCTACTATAAGTCATTCCATATACATCTGATCCACACTAAAGTTGTTGATACTTGTAGGAACTGATGCATTAAGTCTTCCTATTCCCTGCTCTTAAATCACACAAAAAAAACCTAAATTTGCACAAATGGAAGTCAGCCACAGTAAAAAAAATTCCCAAGTGTTTGTGATGTATGTTTTTTGGAATGTATCTTGGACTTATAGTGAGGACAGCCTTTGTAGGTTATAATTTTACATTCAGAGTACAGGCAGAGTCCCCGGATTACGTACAAGATAGGGACTGTAGGTTTGTTCTTAAGTTGAATCTGTATGTAAGTCGGAACTGGCGTCCAGATTCAGCCGCTGCTGAAACTGACTAGCGGCTGACTACAGGAAGCCCAAGGCAGAGTTGCTCTGCCCCGGGCTTCCTGGAATCAGCCGCTGATCAGTTTCAACAGCAGCTGAATCTGGACACCAGTTCCTACTTACATACAGATTCAACTTAAGAACCCCAGGCGTCCCCAGTCAGCTGCTGCTGATTCCAGGAAGCCCGGGGCAGAGCAACTCTGCCTTGGGCTTCCTGTAGTCAGCCGCTAGTCAGTTTCAGCAGCGGCTGACTTGGGGACGCCTGGGGCAGAGCAGCTGGGCTGCTACCGGGTTGG